ACAATTGAAGAGTATCAATTCAATTCTAGAAATAATGCTTTTAATGTGATTTTGATATAGAAAATTGACGAACAAGCTAATGAAATAATGATTTTACAAGAGAATAAACGGATCATAAATAAACTATAGGCTGATATATCTCATTACTATATACAAATAATGCAAATAAATTATCTATGTACCTGTGATCTACTTCTTCTGAAAGCTAAGCTATCATCACTTTGAGCAATCTATCAGATATTAACAGTGACACCTCTGCAGCTGAAACTACGAATGAAGCAAAAATTGATGAATGTGTTAGAAATGCTTAATTCTTAATGATCTAGAAATTACAATTGATTTACATAAACACAACAATGGAAGACTTAGCAAATATGATATTTTTTAGAAAATTGCAGCTCAGTATTTTGAAAAAAAGGCAATGGATATTGTGATCACTATAAATGAACGCAGATACGATTCAATTGTTCATTTTGCAACTGCGATTTCAGTGAATAATCTTTTGTATAAAATTAAGCGCAAATGTCTATCTGAAATACTGATTCTTAGTGCACAATGGTTAAGACTACAGTTTTGGCCTAAGAATTCGACAAGAATTAGTAGTTTGCAATTCACTGGTCATTTACCTTTGAAATTTATGGTTCAAATACGTCAACTATGAACCTATCATCCAGATGCTTATTATGTATTAGCATTATTTCACTATGAGAAAGAATTTGCTATTCAGTTTTATAAAATCACAAATTTTATTTTTTGGATAATAAGCATCATTGTAAAGTTGGAGAATCCAGATTTCCTGTTGCTGCTGTAGAGAGAGAAAAGAAAGTTATGATCAGTAAAGATATTAAATTCGCAGTTGCTAATCACGATTATACTAAAATAGGAATTATACTGAGTATAGCAATAATATGCAATATATCTGAATCGATAAATAGTGATTTTTATACAGGAAAAGTACATATCAGGTTAAAGGATCCAATCTTTCAACCTTCTTCACCACTTCACTATGCAATAGAACTATATCATATACTTCTTAAAGAAGAGCTTGCAAATAAACCTATATTATGTCTTTATACAGATAGTAGACCAGACTATCATTGCATATATACCTGTGTTTAGCTCTCTTACATTTACCTTTTTATTGCTTTAGATCTTGATTATTTTGTTGCTGTTTGAACTCCACCACAGCATTCATGAAAAAATCCCATCGAATGTATCATGTTTATCTTAAATCTAAGACTACAAAGTGTAGGTTTAATGCAAGCTAATATGAATGATAAATCAGAAAAATTAATAGGTAAAGTTAGTACAATAAATGAAATCTGCAAAATTACTGAGGAACATCTTAACTTGAAGAAAGATCTTATTGAAAGCCTTCAAGCTTCAATTCATTTAATTAATGATGTATTTAACTACTAATCTCTTAAAGATGAGCTATTCAGAACATTTGTTATAGCATCAGAAACAGAAATAGAGAGATTCTAGAAAATGATTCAGATCGTAGATGATAGTGTTACTTGTGAAGACCGCATTATAGAACAAATAAAACAAAGGGTAAGTAAAATAATTAAATGAATTATACAAAAAAAAAGCTTGAATAACATATCTTTATTTTAAAAGCCACATCTGCAGGAATTCTTAGACTATTGTTACACAGCAAGGCATTATTTTTTTACAATTAAGAAGTGTGGTAAATTGGACTGTAGCATTTGTCATCTTTTCCGTTATTTATAAGAAGATTTTGAACTATTACATCATCTTTCAGATCTAGTACCTGGAAATGATTTGTATTACAAGTCATTTGAAGAGTTATATGGTACACAAACAACAGAAAACTATAGACCTTCTTTTGTAAATGCTAAAGTGAAAATGAAGAAAGGTAAAATAAAACTACAAAGACAAAACACACTATGCCTTTTTGTCCTTCTGCTATATGTGTAATAAATGTTGGTATTACTGTAAATTGCACTGAATGTGAAAAGCTGCATCTTCTATTCAGTGCAAAAAAACTTTTTAAAAAGGATAAAACAACCTTACGAGAATTTTTAGATATGATTTTTATACCTGCGGTATGTTATTTCATGATACATGTGACTTGGTAATAGCTGTACCACCAAAACATGATATGGAAAATGATATTAGTAATAAAGTTAATGATCAAGAAAACATAGATAAGGAAGATAAAAATGAACAGCTTGAACTTGAAGATGAAGATAAAGAGCCCGATAATACTGTAAAGGAAGAGTCTGATAGTAGTACAAGAGATTCAATTTGTAAACTCTTTTCAAGAGTTTTTATTAATGACTCATGGTCTTGTGCATCACAAGTAGAAAAACCATACTATTCAACTGGAATTCACCTAGACATTTGTATTGAATGTGGCAACTTAAATGTTTCTAAACCAGTAAGGATGAGTATCCACATTGCAATAATTGTAATAATAATGCTGCTAATTCAAAAAAACATTTGAAGTGGGAATAAGGTAATAAAAACAATCGAAAGCATATGAAAACCTAAAACAAACAAAAAGTCAATAAATTCTTTTAATTCTTTTGATAATGAATATAATGAATTTAATAATAAATTGGCGTTAAATCAATTTGATCACGTGATATATAAATGGAGCATTTCTATTGGTCAATTATAATTTAAAAAAAAAATTTTGAAATCCCGCTTTTCTGACCCGGCCGGGATATGAAAACCAATTATATAAGTTGTTCCGCCTAACAGTGTTCAATATTAATGATAAATTAAATCACCACGAATTAATTATTGAACAATTAAAATTTTTTTTTTATTATTATTGTATTTGCTTTAATGAATTTTGTACGACAGAGTAATATCCGCATTTTATCTTTTTATAAAATCCTATAAAAAGAAATTACCGGGTAAGTAGGGTGCCAAGGAATATGTGGTCAAAATATGTAAATAATAATTTGTGTTTATAATTCTGATAGAAATTATATTTAAATTTAAATTTTAGGTAAACTTAAATATGAAAATAATTCGCAAAAAAAATTTAATTTATTAATTTATTATGATACAGGAACTTAAGCATTGAAATTGATTTTCAGAGAGACGCATTCTTTCACTCAAAATATTAAACAAACTGACTGATAACCAAACAAAACCAATGCTATTTTTGATAAATTTTGATAACGTTAGAATTTTTTCTAAAAATTTAATTCTAATCCTTTCATACATTTTCAATTATATTAGCATATGATAAAAATTTAATTTTTTTTTTTTTTTTTTTTGTTGAAGTGCCAGAGTTTACGGAGGATACTTTAGAATAAAATATTTATTCGGTATTGAGATTGTGATTAAATGCAGACCAATTGAATAACCCTAATAATGCAAAAATTTACTTTTGTGTAAATTGCAGATCTATAGAAGTCAATTTTTTTTTGTGCATCAAATACACCAAAATTTGTATTAATCGAAATTGAATTGATTATAAAATATCTTTAAATGGATTCGCTAGTTGTGTTAATTCTTTTAATAGATAATTTTACAGCGATTACAAATATAAATAATGAAATTGCCGACATCTCATTGAGAATTTTCCTATAAATATATGAACTCACGACACGCTCTTTTAAATCTTGAGTAACTTTTTACATACAACAATTTAAAATCATTAATAATTTTTCTCTTCCAAGATGTTGTGTTTGAATAGAAATTTCCTCTTCGTTACGACAACTTTAATTGTCTTGATATGTTTTTTCTCACTATAATATTCTACAGTAAAAATTATATATAATATAAAAGTAAGCATCAAAATAGTATTGATTCAGCAATAACATTTCAGATATACAAAAAACCCTCTTGTTAAAAATAGTTTACTTAATTTGTTAACGTGTTTTAATTTAACATGGAAAAGGCCCTCCCCCAAGGTTACAACAGAAGGTCCTATTACCATCAAAAAGACAAGCTTTATTGCAGCAGTCTTGAGGACGATCTAGAGTACATGGTGCACCGTCAGCATTACATATCTCGACAATTACAGAAGTTACTGTGGAGGTGGCGGTTGCGGTTGTGGTAGAGAGTGAAGTGGTAGTCGTCGTAGCGGTAGATGTAACGGTTTGAACTTTTGGACATTCTTTGAAAACGGTTGGGGTGCAAAAGACGAACTTTGTGCAGTTTCTACATTGGTTATATTTATTCTTGCACTTTTTGTCATTTTTATTTTTGCACCTCTTGCATTTGTTATGTTTATTGTATGAGAAAGAATAAGAAAACTTTTTATCTGGAATACAGGTAACATTATTATCCGTCCTTTTTCTCAATGTGGGGGTGGCTTCAGCAGAGCTGGTAGAGGTAGTCGTGGTGGTTGTGGTGGTCGTCGTGGTCGTCGTGGTGGTAGAACTGACGGTAGCTGTAGACGTAGTGGTAGTTGTAGTGGCTGTTGGGCAATTCGAGGGCTCTATAGTCTTAGTGTAATGGCGTGTCTTAGTGACGGTATTGCATTGCGCAGCTGATATTGGCAGTCATTTTAATAAATTTTTACCATAATTCACGTGACAAAGTAGAAATCTTTGAAACGAATCTCACTTGTTTTGCAATTTGTATTATTTAATATCATTTCAACACTGCCATGTTTTTGCTAGGTAAACGAGAATAGTTTCATGAATGCATTAAAAGAAATATAAATTATTATTATTTACATAGTAATAGGTAATTTTTTATATATTAATACCCTGAGGCCAACATTAATAATAAAGCAGAATTTGAATTATGCATAGAAATCACGTGAATTCATGTAATGTTTGTAAAGTTACAATTTTTTTCATCTTTAATTTTCGTTTCTTACGCTAAAAAAGTTTGATTAGATATATATAAAAAAATAAAAATAAAAAAATAAAAAATTGAAACTATTACTAATTTCAAAAGCAAAAGACCCAGCTATATACACGAACACAAAAAACTATAATACTATGATATTTTATTTATTATCAATAAAAATAAGTTGAATTTTCATAAAACAAAATGTACAATTATTAATAGTTAAGAATATCGTTTAATTCGAGTAAATTTTCTTTTTCTTTCTTTGAAAAATATTTATCCTCAAAAACTTCTGGAACATTTGGATGCTGTTTGTAATTAGGTAATAAATGACCTGCTTGAGGATAGTAAATTGATCTGTTTTCAAACGTTGTCCGAATGTAATCAATTTTCTTTAATAACAATAAAATAATGTTAGTTATATTTAAAACGGATCATCTAATGACAAAATCATAAAAGAATATGAAACCATACCATATCGATATAACCATTTTTCACTTTAATTAAAGGTTGAACCCATTCAAATCCTTGTATGCTTATTCGAATTGGAGGCGTATATTCAATCCACCCTAATCCAACCAATTCTGATATTTTATCATAATTTAGAATGTGCTTTTTTTGTTGATTCTGAGAGGAATTCTATATTAAAAAGCACGATTAAGTTAATAATGATTCGGCGGCGACATTATAAGTAAAAGATAACTCTCTTACCATTTTTCCCGTATCAATTGTGAAAATCAAGGTACAGTCTTTTGAAGATATTTTGTTGATGCAAATTTTCCAAACAACAAATCCATGTGCAAAATGAAATAAAAACTTGGGGATTTTCTGAGGATCAAATGATTCAGGCATTTTCTCATAAGATGAAATTCGTAATACCTTGCCAGATAAACTTTTGATTTATAAATAAAAACAAATACGAAGATTAATATCATCTCAAAATATACACGGTATATATATTTAATAATTACCTATTAGGATCACTTTCAAATAACAAATTATTATTATTAATATTATCAAGGTTTGATAAAAAATAACAAAAATTTACTGTAAATAAGTAAATATTAATTAATACGTATTAAAATGAATAAATAAATTAAAATATACCTACATACCTTTAAACATGCACAGGTTAAATTTATCCACAATTCCCAAATTTTTAAGCTCGCCATTGTCATTAATCTCATGGTAATTACATACGAATGACCAGAAATCCGAATGTTCTTTTAACAAATAAAGAAACGAAATATCTTTTTCATTCAACCAGAGTAATATATTCAAATCCATTAAAGCCATTTCATATTTTTTTAATTTAATATATATTTCACACCTTAAAGGCAATAAGGCTCGGTTATAACTAATATTAGTAATTTGATTGAGTTTTTTCAATATATCATTAGAATTATGCTTATTCTGTATATATTCTAAATAATATAATTGAACTTTGACTAATTCATCATTGGGATCTAATTCTAAATACTTTTGAAATGCTATTGCGGCACCATTTATATCATCTAATGAAGTATAAGCGATCCCTTTATAATAGTATGCTAAATTATTTGAAGGATTTAAATGCAAAATTTTACATAGATCTAATAAAGCTTTATCATAGTCTTGAAGTACGATAAAAGCAATGGATCTTTTGATTAAATTATGAATATTTTCTGGATCTATCTTGTTTGCTTTTGTAAAATAAGATGCGGCATCATCATATCTTCCTATTTGCATGAGAATTTCTCCATAATAGCACAAAATCAACGAATCATGATCATTAATGTTTAACAGTCGATCCAGCATTTCTAAAGTGTTTGAATATTTCTCTTGTTTTTCATAAATGTATGCACAATCTTTCAAGCATAAATGATTATTTGGATTATTTTGTAATTCTAAATTATAATTTGTTAATGCATTAGCGTCATCTTTAAGATTAAAATAACTATTGCCAAGGATAAAATACAAATTATTCATTTTATAGTTATGGTGCGATGATGATGTTAATGCAGAAACCGCATCTTCATATTTTTTTTCTCTAAAAAAAGTTTCCCCCCTAATGTACCATGAAATGGGATTCTTTGGTTTTAAATGAATGGCCTCATTTAAAACTAAATGTGCCTGTTTATGATCATCAAGACATCTATATGTATAAGCTAAAATGCATCTCATAGAATTACTTTTAGGAAATGTTTTTAAGAATTCCTTGCACAAATATTCAGCTTCCTCAAAATGATGTTCCGCTAATTCTCTTATAACGTTTTGATATATCCGGTTTTGTTTTTTTGAAATTGAAATTGTCTTTAATAATTTAGTTGAATTAAATTTAATGGTTTGAATAAATTTCTTTCTCTTGGTCAATATAATATCAATCTCAGAATTATCTGAATCGCTATTATATTTTCGATCGGTATCTTTCAACTCGAATGAGAATACAATGCGATCATTTTTAAATAAATTTTTGTAAATGGTATTTTGTAACAATAGGATTATATCGCTTTCTTCAATCTTTTTTTGACACTTTGGACATTTTTTTTGTTTTAACCATTTTAAATTATCCAATGAGATCATATGCTAACATTTTAAAATACATAATCGATCTTCTGGTTTATGACTAATTGGACAAGTCATGTCATCTGCAATAATATTTAAAAGGTTGCATGACATTTGTTCTTTTTTTAAATATGAATGTTGATCAAAACTTTTGCGACTTTTCCCTTTTCCAATTTTATCACTACAAAGTACATTAATATCTTCAAGATATTTCTCTTTAACAAATCTTAACAAATTTTGAAAATTCTCTGAAGGATTTGTTAAATTATTCTTGTTTAGTTTTCGATTATATTGATCAAAATCGAGTTCGACAATTGAAAATAATTCATTATTACGTAAATATAATAAGATTTCAATGGATTTAAATTGAATAAAACTACTGAATGCTTTGTTGAGCGATTCAATCGCCAAATAATAACAAAGTCCATGTGTAGCCATTCGGGTCGAATTTTTGACAATGTCGTGTGCAAGATCTAATATTCCAAACTATAAGGTATGTGATAATGCAAGTGGTTCGCTTTCAGTAATGTCATGTAAAATATTTCTAACATTTTTCAAGGCTTTAAAAACTTTATTTGATACGTTGTTAGTGATAATCCATTTGCGTCACTAGATGACTGCACTAACTAATGTCACCAATGATCACTAGGAAAATTGTGATCATCATTTTCACTAATTTCATTACTATCACAGTTATCGTTGTGATATTCATTTTCTTTATTTTATTTATTATCATGTTTATCATTATTTTATTTGATATATTTATTTT